AGCTTCTCAGATGATTTACTCAGCATATGGATTGAATAAGTATGATCGAGGGATACAACCCTGACACATACCCTTCCTGATTTTAAACCATACAACTCACTCCTGTCAAGTAGAATCTGACTCATAAAGACTCCTCCTCTGATTTCCAAGGCATTATCACTATGGAAGTAGATTGTCCCATCTTCCTTCGAAGGAGTGGTTCAAACCACCAGCCTTCTGGTTGGCAGTCAAATGCCTTAGGGCATGTAGTATCCTCTTATTCTGTGCAAAAGATAGCTCTTCTTCCTGGTCTGTGTACAAGTTCTTCACGAGCACAATTAAGTGCTCTGGAATTCCCATTCTTCATAACGTTATCCATAATCTGTTAGGCTCCACACAGTCAAATGCCTTTGCATAGTCAATAAAACATCCTTCTCATATTCTGTGCTTTCAGCCAAAATCCATCTAACATCAGCAATTATATTCCTGTTTCCACGTCCTCTACTGAATCCAGCTTGCATTTCTGGAAGTTCCATGTCAAGATACTGCTGAAGCCATTTTGAATTATCTTCAGCAAAATTTTACTTGCATGTGGTATGAAAGATATAGTTCAGTAATTTCCTTATTGCGTTGGATCACCTTTCTTTGGAATGGGTACAAATTGCATCCCTTCTGGTCAGTTAGCTAGTTAGCTGTATTCTAGATTTCTTGGCATAAATGAGTAAGCACCTCAAGTGCTACATTCTTTTGCTGAGCATCTCAGTGGGTATTCTGTCCATTTCTGGAGCCCTGTTCTTTACTGATTCCTTCAGTGCAGCTTTGACTTCTTCCTTCAATACCATTAGTTCTTGATCTTATGCCACCTCCTGAAATAGATGAACATTAACCATTTCTTTTTTGTACAATGATTGTATGCATTCCTTCCATCTTCTTTTGATGCTTCCTGCATCATTCAGTATTTCTTCCATAGAGTCCTGCAATATTGCAACTTGAGGCTTAATTTTATTTTATTTTATTTTTTTTTGATTCTTTTAGCATTGAGAAATGCTAAACCTGTTCTTCCCTTTGGATTTTCTAACTCCAGATCTTTGCACATTTCATTATAATAATTTACTTTATCGTCTTGAGCTCTTCTGTCTTGCCCTTTCATTTGCTTTAGCTATACTCTGTTCAAAGGTAAATTTCAGAGTCTCTTCTTAAATCCATTTTGGTCTTGTCTTCTCATTTTAATGACCTTTTGCTTTTTTTTCCATCTCTGATATTCTTGATGTCATTCTGTGACTTGTTTTTGGTCATTGCTGTTCAGTGTATCAAATCTATTCTTCAGATGATCTCTAAATTTAGGTGGGATATTATCAAAGTCATATTTTGGCTTTTGTGGACTTGTTATAATTTTCTTCAGCTTCAGTTTGAACTTGCATATGAGCAATTGATGGTCTGTTCTACAGTCAGCTCCTGGCCTTGTTTTGACTGAGGATATTCATTGCCTCTTTACACAGATGTAGTCAATCCGATTTCTGTCTGGTGAAGTCCACTTGTATAGCCACTGTTTATGTTGTTGGAAAAAAGTATATGCAATGAGTAAGTCATTGGTAGTGCAAAATTCTATCATGTGGTCTCTGGTGTCATTTCTATCACCAAGGCCATGTTTTCCAACTCTTGATGATTCTTGTTTGTTTCTGATTTTGCAATGCAATCACCAGTAATCATCAGTACATCTTCATTATATGTGGTCAATTTCAGACTGCAGAAGTTGGTAAATATCTTCAATTTCTTCATCTTTGGCTTTAACGGTTGGTGTGTACATTTGAATAATAATAGTAGTAACTGGTCTTCCTTGTAGGCATATGGATATTATCCTGTCACTGACAGCATTATACTTCAGAATAGATCTTGAAACATTCTTTGTGACAATGAATGCCCTGCCTTTCCTCTCTAATTTGTTGTTTTTGGCATAGTAGATCATATGATTGTGTGACTCAGAGTGGCCAAAACCAGTCCATTTCAGCTCACTGATGCCTAGGATATTGATCTTTATGTGTTCCATTTCATTTTTTGACAGCTTCGAATTTTCCTAGATTCATACTTTGTATGTTCCATGTTGCAATTTTTAATGGTTATGTGCAGCTGGTCCTTCCCACTTTGAGTTGTGCCCCATCAGCAAATGAAGATCCTGAAAGCTTTACTCCATCCATGTCATTAAAGTCTTTTCTACTGTGGGGAGGCAGTTCTTCCAACTGAGGGGCTCATCTTCTGGCACTATATCGGATAGTGTTTCAGAGCTATTCATAAAGTTTTTCAGTAATACATCAGACAGTGTTTCACTGCTTTCATAAGGTTTTCACTGGCCATTTCTCTGAGAAGTGCATGGGTCCTTCCTTCTTCCCAGTCTATCTTAGTCTGGGAGCTCCACTGAAACCTGTCCACCGTGGGTGATCCTGCTGGTGTTTGATGAGCAGTGGCATAACCTCCAGCCTCATAGTGACACACCAGCCACCACAGTATGACAAACTGACAGATGAGTGATGGAGCAGAGGGTAGCTAAGGCAAATAGAAGAAATGATGAAATAGAAAATTAAAATAAAAAATAAAAGATGAAATAAAAGAGGTGACCAGTAGATTTCAAAGGGTGGCTTGAGAAGACAAAATAAAGTATTATAGTGAAACGCATGAAGACATGGAATTGAGAATCCAAAAGGAAAGAATATGCTCAGCATTTCTGAAAAACTGGAAGAAGAAAAAAATTCAAGCCTCAAATTATAGTATTGAAGGATTCTAAATATAGAATATTGAACAATGCAGGAAGCATCAAAAGAAGATGGAGAGCCACTTTACCAAAAACATTGGTCAATGTCCAACCATTTCTGGAAGTGGCCTGTGATGAAGAGCCAATAGTATTGAAGGAAGAAGTCCAAGCTGCTCTGAAGGCATTAGCAAAAGACAAGGCTCCAGGACTTGACAGAATACTCATTGAGATGTTTCAACAAACAGATGCAGTGCTGGATATGCTCACTCATTCATGCCAAGAAATTTGGATGACAGCTTCCTGGTCAACTGACTGGCAGACATCCATATTTATGCCCATTTCAAAGAAAGGCCATCCAACAGAATGTAGAACTACTAAATAATATCATTCATATCACATGCAAGTAAAATGTTTGAATGTAATTCAAAGACTGTTGCAACAGTATATTGACAAGAAGACTGCCAGAAGTTGAAGCTGGATTCAGAAGAGAGCATGGAATGAGAGGGGATTGCTGATGTCAGATAGATCTTGGGTGATAGCAGAAAATAATGGAAATATGTTTATTTGTGTATAGGCAGCCCCAGGGGATGGTGCAGGGGTAGAGGTGGGGTGGGCAGGGCTGGAAGAGTTTAAAGTTTGTTGAATGGGTCACAGAAGGCATACTGGGAGGAAGGAAGCCAGTAGCCCGGCAGGCTGGACAGAGTGCACTGCAGCGGAAGGGTGCTGTTCTTAGAGAATGGAGGAGGATCACCCAGGATTGGCATAGGGACTGAGCCAGACTTTTCATGCAATCGCTTGACAGTGTGGCCAGTGAGAATTCCTGGGCCATCTAATCACTGCCCTGAGTGACTCTTTCCCATATATAATGTGGTGTTTGTACAATTTCCAAATCATATAGTGTCTTATTTTACAGAGCCTATCGTGGATGTGAAATGATGTATACCTATAGTAAAATAATTGAATTCATAATACTGACCCTGAAGCAAAGAGAGCCCCCCCCCCAAAAAAAAAAAAAACCCAAACAACTGCTGTTGAGTTGTTTTGAGTCATAGTGACTCCTGCTTTGGGTTTCTGAGGGGGTATCTCTACAGAAGTAGATTGCCTGGTCTTCCTTCTGAGGAGTGGCTGGTGTGTTTGAACTGCCAACCTTATGGTTAGCAGTCAAGTGCCTTAGGCACTATGCTACCAGAGCTCCTAAACAGAGCCTAAAGATTATCTAATTTTTGTTTGGACTCAGTCATGATGTTTAGAACTTTTTCTCTATAGGAGCTAGAAAGGTTCTGCCAACTAGTTTACAAGTGTCCTGGGCCAAAAAGTCTTGCGACTGACTCCCGTGTCTGGACACACCAGTGGCAGATAGAGTATTGGCATAGTTATCTAACATATCAGTAAATGTGTGGTACATTTACTAATTATTTTAGTTCTTAGATCTCTTTGTAACATAAGTAGTTATATGAAAAGTTACATAAATTAGTGATGTTCTTCAGTATGGCCTTGGTGTCAGGACAAAGAAGTTTCTAATCAGTTAAAGATAAAACCAGAGGGGAGCAAACTTGAAGGGATTGAAGTGTTTCTGCAGTTATTTATTATATTTGCTTAGTTACCATTTTATGTTTATTGTCTTAATTCACTTTTTTGGTGTGAGAGATAAAGCTCCTACATGTTACATATAGTAAGTACTCTCTTCTCTACCCTCCCTTTCACTCTTACAGAAAATTATATTCTTCTTTAGTACATGGTAGAAGCTGCTGTGACAGTTGGTGTCCCTCTGACAGTCCACTCTAATAGTATATGTGGAAAATAAAATTTACATTTACCTGTGAGGTTCATGGAATATCAGTGTGCTATGACTTACCAATCAGGAAGACCAAATACAGACTGTAAAATGTAAACTGTGACAAGATAAAAATTTTACAAATTTTGATTGAAATTTTTTCAAAACCACTCATTTCTCTTTGTTATTAAACAGAATATACAGAATGTAAGTTTACATCATTCTTTGTAGCCCATAATGATAGATTATGTGTGTACTAAACTGGACCCTAATGCAGTAATATATGCGCTAGTTGAGTTTAAAGATTCAGTGCCTGGCCCATATTAATATCACTCAAACACTGCTGCTCTTTATGATAGTAATTGGGAGAGAAAGATAATCACTATTTGGGGTCTCTAAAGATCTAAATAAATAACATTTCAAACGTGAAGTATTGTTATGTGAAATTTTTAAAATTGAATTTATTTTAGGGCACACTGAATATTTTACTTTGCTTTTTCTCAGCATCAGCAACAGCAGCTTGTGATTGGCGGTACTGGATATTCAGTTGCACATCCCCACATCAATGCACTGCCAATGGTAAGAACACCACTTATTCCCAGTATCAGTGTTTCAAACTGCTTTTTGTTACTCTATTGTTTTAAAGAATGTTTTAAGGATTTTGAAAGTGTCTTATGATTTGATAAAATTAGGTACCTGTTCCCAAACTACATAAATTATTTTAATGTGTAATTTAAGGTGCTTAACATACTTTTTTGAATATTAAGTGAAAAATAAAGGAAAAAACAAAAGCCATCATATGGAAGATTTCTATTATCTGTAGTTTTTTTTTTTTTTTAACCTCTTAATGATTATCTACATGAGAAATATTATTTATTGATGGCCTTGTTTTGACAAATGAACTGTGTTTCATGAATAGAATTTCCTTATTAAACATAAATTATTAGTGGTTATAATAGCTCTTACATATTTCTCTAACCTTTTACTGTTACACATTGTCTGTTTTTGTGTTTTCCATTCATCCTAATATGTTTATATATAGTAATGGGCAATTAAATGGCTAAATTTTTTTCTGATTGTTTTTAGTTAGTGAATAATTTTAAAGAGGGCCATGCTAAGCTATTTTAAATAATCTCTTTAGAAAACTTTAACTGTGGTGTGTGATATAGTAAAAGAATATTGGACTCTGTAGTAGTTGGGATTTACTCTTTCTGAATGTCCTAGAAATCTGGGATTACTTTTTGGCAAGAAGTTCCCTTATAAAATGAGATGGTAGGATCAGACTGGAATTTTTTAATTTCTTAAGTGTACATTAGCTGTAGTCTAAGTAATCTCATCATTGTTAAATAGATTTTAGAATGTTTCCCCCTTGAAGAAGTAATTCCTTATCTAAATAGTATTGCTTATATATATTGGGTACTAGGAAAATGAGGAGGATGGACTAATTACATTTTTGTTTCCAGGATAAATTATGTAAGCACTGATATCTTCTACTTCAAAATATTTTCTGTAGTACATTAACAGAATTTAAAATTATTTTTATATGATCAGATTATTATTTCAAACATTAAGTCAGGGAACTATAATAACTGATTAAGGTTTACAGAATTTGATGGGAAATCATAGATGCATCACTCTGAAATGAAAACTAAAAAATTTTTTAAAATGAAATGAGTGAGTGAGATAAGTTATCTATGAAAACATTTCCAGAAAATGATTCATTTTAAAGGTGTACTTGTAAGTATGTTGATAAAAATGAGGACTTACTCAGTCTAAACTATCTCCTAAATTTATTATTGGGAAAAGATTTTTTTTTTTCATCTGATGGTACAGTGGTTAAATGCTTGGCTGCTAACTGAAAAGGTCAGTGGTTCAAACCCACCACCTAGCTGCTCTATGGCACAAAGATGTGACAGTTACTTCCATAAGGATAACAGCCTTGGAAACCCTATGGGGCAGTTCTCTGTCCCATAGGATTGCTCTGAGTTGAAATCAACTCAGTAACAATGGGTTGGTTATTAAGGAGCTCTGGTGGCACACTGCCTGAGACATTTGCCTGTTGCTACCCAAAAGGTTGGTGGTTCAACCCCCCTAGCCATACAATGGAAGGAAAACTGGGCAATCTACTTCAGTAAAGATTTACTGCCTTGGAAACCCAATGGAGGTCATGAGTTGGAATCGACTCGATGGCAGTTGGTTTGGTTTTGTTGGTTGGTACGTGATAGCTCTGACTAGTACAAAGAACATTTGTCCTACCCCACCTCCACGCCCCTGGCCACGAGCAGTTGAAGAAAATAAATTTATTTCTTTTTCTAACAGAAGCAATAATATTTGTTTGGAAGTTCACATTTAAAACATCTGTTTTCTTGGATGTTGGAGTATACTGTTTGTGGTGTGTCGGTGTGTCCCCCTAATAATTAGTTGTGCAGGCTTCTTGGGTATCTGAGGTGCAGATAGAAGAAAAGTACCTATTCTCTTGTGAATTTTTTATATAGCACTCACATAGACTATTTTTATTCAGTTTTGTTTTTGCAATAGCTTATAAACTGTATTTTAAATGAGATCATCCCAAACATTCATGAATTTTGTTGACAATCTCTGAAATTATTTTTTTTGTTGTGGTAAAAATAGATAAAACAAAACACATCAGTTCAACAATTTCTGCATGTGTAACTCAGTGACATTGCTTACATTCTTCAGGTTATGGAACCATTTTCCCTGTCCTTTCCCAGATTATTTTACCACCATTAACATAAACTCAAATGTCCTCTAAGCAAGAACTCTTTATCCCTCCTTTCTTCCTCTGGTAACTCCTAGTAATTTCTGGTTTCTATAGTTTTGCTTATTTCATATCTGTTAGCTTATAAAGTATTTGCACTTTGGCAACTGACTTATTTTGCTCAGCATGTTTTCAAGCGTCATCATCATATTGTCCTGAAATCACTTTTATGTCATGATCATAGAAATTTTACTTATAAATTAGTGTTAATTCTAAGTATCTGTTAGTGTTAGAGATGAAGAATATTAAACTTTATCACAAATTTGCTTACAGTCTGAGACCACTCAAGAATCTTATACTGAACCCATTTCTACTACATACCTGCTTTATGTATTAGTAAATAAAAGGCATTGGTAATAAATGGTCATTTCCCCTAAACTTAGAAAAGCCATAGTATGCTAGATTAAAACTGTGCTATGCATTATGTTGTTACACTGTAAAGGAATGCATTGTGGGAAAGTATACAATTATCTTTACCATTCTCTACCCTTACACCTGACTTTGTCCTGCCCTTACACCTGACTTTGTTATTGCTAAAGTAACCATGAAAATCTATTGCTATCAAGCTGTTTCTGACTCATAATGACCCTGTAGGACAGAGTAAAACTTTCCCATACAATTTCCAAGGCTATAAATTTTTATGAGTCAGCCCCAGGCTTACAGGTGAGGAGAGACAACTCAAGGACGCCCGAAGTAGCAAACGGGAAGATCAGGAGAAAGGGGTTTAAAAGCCAGGAAGCCAAAGAGAAGAGCAGTCAGCCGAAGGGATTAGATGAGGAGAGGCAACTCAGGCCCGCCCAGAGTGGCAGACCGGAAGAGCAGGAGGAATGGGATAAAAAGCCAGGAACCTGGACAGAAGAGCAGACAGCCCCAGGCTTACAGGTGAGGAGAGACAACTAAGGGACGCCCGAAGTAGCAAGCGGAAAGAGCAGGAGAAAGGGGTTTAAAAGCCAGGAAGCCAGAGAAAAGAGCAGTCAGCCGAAGGGATTAGGTGAGGAGAGGCAACTCAGGCCCGCCCAGAGTAGCTGGCCGGAAGAGCAGGAGGAAGGGGATAAAAA